TGTAAAAGATGATATTTTTTTTAAAACTTGTGTTTAATGAACATGCCGACAATTATTACTATAATTTGAAAAATGAAAATGATTTCCCAACACTTTTAATAGTAATTTTTAACTCATAAATTTAGACAAACGCGCACGATAATTGATCTAACACTTAAATCCGTAGAAATGCCAACGACAAACATATGCGTTACAGAATTGAGCTTTATATATTAGATATATATATATATATATATATATATATATGTATATATATATATATATATATATATATATGTATATATATATATATATATATATATATATATATATATATATATATATATATAAAACAGTATGTCTACCGTACACGTATAACATGACTTTATAAGTACACCAATTTACTATTTCTTCTTCAGATGAGCTGCAACGACTGTAGCCATCCAAGGTCACGCTTGACTTCACCCGATCAGATCTATTGATTGGTGACTGTGTCGTACATCACCACTTACACGGGCGCTGAACAACAGATGACGTCACACACCTGACCCACCCGTCGTCCTGTATGGCACCTGGATGGAACAAAACCTTATCATGTGATCTGCAAGAATAAGCTTTAGTGTCGGGATTAACGATATAAAACCTTCATTATTTTGTTGTGAACGAAGTTTGTTTTTTATTTACTCGCATAACAGTCCGTTATGTGAAAACACTTTCGTTTTTGCCTGCTTTCATATATAACGATACATCATTAGAAACCTTTCGACTTGTATCCTATCTTTTGGGTTGTGTTTTAATATTTATATTAACTAGACATAGATTCACCATTATGTTTTATACATGGTTTAGTCCTTATAAATCCCCATGCGAGTCATTTACTTTTCTTCCAATACAGCAATGGAAACTGACATTTTTATTGTTGATCCAACGCTTTTAAAAATGAAAACGAAAACAGAGTTGTCTTTCTCCAAATGACGTCACACTTCAAGGGAGACCATCACTATATCCCGAATGGAGGCGCGACGTTCAAAATCGAAAATTTCGGGAATTTCCACTCCAGCTCAAAACGAAACCGAAACACGTACACTTACCCGTTCTACCCGCGGGGCGCCGCGTTTTGCCGGACCCGGGTCAAATTCTGGTTCGGCCTGGACGACCAACTGCGGGTAGGGCTTCTGGTGTCGCCCCACCCAGAGACAGGAAACGCCCGGTGGCCGCTGGCCATGTACACCACGGGCCACATTTATAACATGGCCACCAACAACTTTGACGAGCTGTGGAGCTGCCGATGTGTCTTCCCTAAACAAGCTGAGACAGGGGAACAAGAGCACAACGTTCCCGTCTGTCTCAAGACAAACGGCCGGTCCGTCTTGACCTTGACCTACGAGCACATTCACCGAGAGGGTTATGTCAAGGACGATGAGGTCATCCTTAAATGGGACGTAACTGTGGATAGCACACAGCAGCCGAATGAGCAACACGTCGCCTCGTTTTGAACTCACATGACCTCAAATATTACAATATGATATATAGATATTATATGATAATATATAGATTTTATATAGCAATCTGTAAATATCTGTGTTGATGTAAAATGTAATCTAACGCCAAAAAAGCTTCTAAATAGCAAGCTAAAATATTGCACTATAAGTAATATATATGAAAGTTGTTAATTTATTTTGTGACCACAGTTTCTATTGTGTATTTGTGTTGGTTTTTTTTTGTTCATATTAAATAGATTTGTTTAATTGAGTGATAAAGATGATCTATTGTCAGAAAATACATATTTATCTTTTCTTCTCGGCTATTTTAACCCCAAATCTAGGAATTAGAGGCCTGTCTTAGCTCCAAATCAAGGCTTTAGAGGCCTCTCTTAGCTCCAAATCTAGGCATTAGATGCCTGTCTAAGCTCCAAATCTAGGCATTAGAGGCCTGTCTTAGCTCCAAATCTAGACAGTAGAGGCCTGTCTTAGCTCCAAATCTAGACAGTAGAGGCCTGTCTAAGCTCCAAATCTAGACATTAGAGGCCTGTCTTAGCTCTACTTCTCGACATTAGAGGTGTATCTTAGCTCCACCTAATCCTAATCTTACACAGCTTACTCACAACACATCTTGTACAATAAATGACGTCACAAACCTTTACCTCCACCCCCAATAGTCACATTAAAGAACAAACAAACAAAAAAAAACATCTCAAATGATAATTGACGTCACAAAATTCTAGCGAACCCCTCCTCCTATAATTCCTACAATTAGATGTATGTCATATTGAAAAAATATAAAAAATTTACAAAAAAAAAAATTAAACGTAACATGTTGTCTATAATCGCTCAGGATATGTCCCATCCTCCCCATCAATTTTGTGATGTCAATTAATGACGACACCCCCCCCCCCCCAACCAACCTGACATCTTATCGTGTCGGATTTATTTTTCCTCCCCCCCCCCCCCCCACCGCCATAAGACGAAGCAAAGCGCTGACCATAAATACGCCCCTGTTTTACCTGACATTACACTATGATACTTGGTTTTCTGTATTTATTATTCCATTATTACAAGTTTTTATTATAATGTACCAACATATTTATATCTTTTTGTTGATAACTATTGAAATAAAATATCGATAAATATAATGACAATTTCAATATTACTTGTGTTTACAAAGTCTAAAGTCTCGGGTTTATTTCAGTTTGAACTAATGTGTGCAGAATTTATTTTTGCTTTAGTCCAGTGATATAGAAGCGACTCCTGGCTTACCTTGTAACACACAGTGGTGGTAAAAAAATAGACACACTCTACTTCACCTGCATGATCTTCAAGCTTTGGCAGTAGATTTTTTTTTGTAACAATAAGGGAAGGGTCTAGTAAAAAAAATTATATGTTTCGCTAAATACTTAGCATGAATCAAATTGTAATCTAGCTATTTATCACCATACATAGTATTGTGGTCAAATATTTAAGTCACAAAGTACACAAATTACGACACTAGGAATTTACAATGTTATCTTTTGGCTTAGCTTATCCACGGCATTAAAAGTGGTTCTAAATCTAACAAGATTACAAGGCCAGATTATCAATTACTTTATATGATAATTTTAGTACAAAAATAGACACTTAAAATCAGTCCAATATTGAAAAATATTAATGAATCTGCAAGAAACATAAAAAGTTTGAAAGTATGTTCAACCTAACGCATGGCGAGATAAGTGAGATAGGTGAGATAGGTGAGATAGGTGAGATAGGTGAGATGGACTTAATGACCCAGTTAACAATATGCACACAATTATTCACATTCAAATATGTTCAAAGTATTCACAATCTAAGTAAACAGTTGATCAGGGTAACACACCACCATGAAAAAAAAATATTGACGAGTTTATAAGCTAAATGTAGTTCAAACCTTAGAAGAACAGATTTTTAAAAGTAAAACAGATTTTTTAAAGAAAAACTTACATTTAGGAATAGTTAGTAGATTTTATACAATAAGAAACAATATTTTCTTAAACCGATGATTGTTATGTAAAAATTACTCCAATGTTGAAAACAAATTAAGTAAATAATTTAAAATTAATCAATTAAACAACCTAAAAAAAATTAATTTAATAACCTAAAACGAATTAATTTTATAACCTATCAAAACAAACATCTTTGAAGAACGCCCTAAAAATCACGAACAGAAGTGCTCCAAGGGGAGGGAGGGTGGGTGGGGGCGGCTGCCAAGGGCGACGACCCTGAGTGAGCGTTAAACGGGGAAGAAAAAAAAACTCATCATGAGCTGCATATTACACAGTTAATGTAAAAATAGACTACAGCTAGGATCTATGCGCCCCTTGAACTGTCTTATACACAGATTGTTGTGGTACAACAGGCGGTGAACAGTGTCCCTACGGTTATAAGATGGTGAGGGGGTGGGGGACCTATTCGAATAACTATTATTTTAGTGGATGGCGCAAAACTGATTGTTCTATCGGGCTACTGCATAGCAGGCGTAAACAAGGCGTAAGTGTCCTATAACCAGAGCGGCCCTTTTTTCAATATCACGATTATAAAATATCCACTTAAGTAGTGCTCTATATTTTTCGCTGATCACGGTTAACTCCCTTGAAGCCTAAGGTGCCCATTAATAAGTTTGCATAAGGGCCCAAAAATCCTAGCTACGCCACTAGTCGGAATGAGTCGTTACACCTCCGATCTTGACCGGCAAAGTAATAAAACTAACATTACTAGCAATACGAACTGGGAACTGTAATGTAGTAATGTTACTATATAATATTAATGTGTAATGTTACTGTGCAATGTTACTGTGTAATGTTACCGTGTAATGTTACTGTGTGATATTACTGTATAATGTCACTGTGTAATTTTACTGTGTAATGTTACCGTGTAATGTTACTGTGTAATGTTACCGTGTAATGTTAATGTGTAATATTACTGTGTAATGTTACTGTATAATGTTACCGTGTAATGTTACTATGTAATGTTACTGTGTAATGTTACTACGTGTAATGTTACCGTGTAATGTTATCATGTAATGTTACTGTGTAATGTTACTGTATAATGTTACTGTGTAATGTTACCATGTAATGTTACCGTGTAATCTTACTGTGTAATCTAACTGTGTAATCTTACTGTGTAATGTTACTGTGTTATGTTACCGTGTAATGTTACTGTATAATGTTACCGTGTAATGTTACCGTGTAATGTTACTGTGTAATGTTACTGTATAATGTTACCGTGTAATGTTACCGTGTAATGTTACCGTGTAATGTTACTGTGTAATGTTACCGTGTAGTGTTACTGTGTAGTGTTACTGTATAATGTTACCGTGTAATGTTACTGTATAATGTTGACGACAGCAAATTTATTTCCTGACCTCTCTCGTGGTTATCATGTCTAAAAATAAACGTCGGCTAACCACAATTTCGTGTTTACATCGCTCGGGGAATTCCCTGAAATGACATAAGGCCACCTGAATAAAACGAAGAGCTAAAAATAGAACGACCTAATTATAGCGGATCTCCACAACACTGTAGAGTATTCAATCAACACAACGATCTATCAGAGATCATGTTCGCTGTTGATTACAGTCTGAGGGTTCATTAGGAGGCGAATTACTGTAGGTATGTACAGATTTTAAGTTCATATTATCCATTTTTCATAAATTATAACCTCATTATTCCATTTTTATGTTCGTTTCTAAGAACTAATTGGTTAATGGTATCACATTTTTATTTCTATACTAAAGAGTCAATTTACTAATCACGTTTTTAACAGCTTGTGCTGTTAATTTAGCCTTTTTAAAAAATACAACAGATTGTAAATACAAACACACATACACACACACACACACACATATATATATATATATATATATATATATATATATATATATATATATATATATATATATATATATATATATAGGCTATATATGTATCCATTTTTATACGTTTAAAATTGATACTTCTAACAATTGAGATTTTACATAATTATAGGAGGTAAAAGTATGTTTACCTTAATAAATTTTCTCCAGGTGTGGGGGGGGGGGGGGGGGGGTCGATATGCAACGCTAGTTAATGGGAGTGGGGTGGGCCGGTAGACGCACTTTAATTTCCGGGGCCGGACACTGGTTAGAGTATATATTTTTTTCTTTATAAGAAGAAAACTCTGAATGAACTTTATCATAACTAATAGGTTACTCGTGTGCCGTAGAAATAAACCGGGAGTGATCTCCCCTAAACTTTCTCGAATATTCTTATATAACACTACGGGGGATGGCATCTTGGGATATCGACATGATTTTAAATCCATTTTTAATTACTTAAACTTTTAATAGAATAGAATCTCGTAGAAAAAAAAAGTATTGCGCACCAAGTGAATGGCAAACATTATAAGTATATGAGCTGACCCGCGACGTAGCATACGCCGATATCTAGTTGTTTTACTTTCTGCTTATCAACAATTCATAATTTGTGAATTCGACACTACCCCACCCCCTGTCAAATTATTTTTTTTGCACGATTACAATACTTTCTCTATACTTCTTTGGCCTTTACGAGAAAGTAAAAACAAGCCAATATCCATAATGGGGATTCCCTAAATTATACTTTCGTTTAAGAATTAACCAAGAAGTTTAATGTTTTAACGTTTTGAAATGGGGTTTACCACACCTTAAGAATGTTATAGAAATGTACTTTCAGGCTCCCCTTTTAACTTTCTCGTATACAGAGTAGGCCCTATAGAGGAAGTATTGTACAAATAGGCTCCTGTCAATTTGGCTCCCGACAAAAGAACCACTGACAATATGGTTTCCGTAGAGACTAAATCTCTAGGCAAAACGGTCTCATTAAATATGACACCTGCCAGTGGGACACCTTCATCAATATTCTTTAGAGTTAGCTTGTCCAACACTCTTAAGACGTACATACACTACTGTTATTGTAACCGCTAAAACTATTTTAAAATTATCTACGAAGATGAGCAGTTATTGTTGCAACTTTATAGCTGTAGAACTGGTAAAAACGTCTATTGTTTAAATAGTGTGTTTGTATAACAATAAAATACATATAATCATTAATTAATATTTATTCTACATCAGACGACATATTTGTGTACGTTTGCTCCTGCACCTTGTTTATTTTGTGTTATATTTTCGTCTTCGGCTAAAATTTCTGATGTATCCTAACTTTTAAAATCATGTATCTATGCATAAAACATATCATTGCGGTTTCATTTTATCAAACTAGAAATGTGAAACAATTAATTTATTTATGAATGTGTACTTTTATAAAAAAAATGATAGTAGTATAAAAAACACAGTTGCACCTGCTATCGGTACCCTATATTTAAACACGGTTTAAGCACTGACGGGGACACTTAACTCAATGATAAAACCAAAACTAGGTATTTAAGGGATGTTAATCCTAGCACTAATCCTAACAGTAACGAGCTCAACATAATAAAACAAGTCACGTTACTGTATCGCCAAGTCGTCGAAAACAGACGACCAAATAATGTTTGTGTGTGTGTGTGTGTGTGTGTGTGTGTGTGTGTGTGTGTGTGTGTGTGTGTGTGTGTGTGCGTGCGTGCGTGCGTGCGTGCGTGCGTGCGTGCGTGCGTGCGTGCGTGCGTGCGTGCGTGCGTGCGTGCGTGCGTGCGTGCGTGCGTGCGTGCGTGCGTGCGTGCGTGCGTGCGTGCGTGCGTGCGTGCGTGCGTGCGTGCGTGCGTGCGTGCGTGCGTGCGTGCGTGCGTGCGTGCGTGCGTGCGTGCGTGCGTGCGTGCGTGCGTGCGTGCGTGCGTGCGTGCGTGCGTGCGTGCGTGCGTGCGTGCGTGCGTGCGTGCGTGCGTGCGTGCGTGCGTGCGTGCGTGCGTGCGTGCGTGCGTGCGTGCGTGCGTGCGTGCGTGTGTGTGTGTGTGTGTGTGTGTGTGTGTGTGTGTGTGTGTGTGTGTGTGTGTGTGTGTGTGTGTGTGTGTGTGTGTGTGTGTGTGTGTGTGTGTGTGTGTGTGTGTGTGTGTGTGTGTGTTGTATTCTTAGGCCGTATGGTCCAGATGAGCTATAAGTATGATACACATGTAATTCATAAATATCTACTTTTTTGTATTTATTTTTAGCTGATAATACGTGCCGTGATTAAAAGTAGAATCTCTAGCGTATTGTACACGATGTCCAATCCACGGACTTGTTGTGTCAACTATGTTAAAAATAAACCGGGAGTGATCTCCCCTAAACTTCCTCGAATATTCTAATATAAAATACGAGGGATGACAACTCAGGATATAGACAATATTTGTAATCCATTTTTAATTACTTAAACGTTTTATAATAGAATGGAATCTCGTAAAAAAAAAAGAATTGCACACCAAGTGAACGCCTAATAAAATGTGTATAATAGTGCGGGATATTATTAGTACTTTATAAATTTACATGCGTTTTTTGAGAAATCGGAAATAGCGTAAATTAGTACTTCCGTTCAACGGAAATTACTTAAAATTTGACAGAAGGTAGAGAATTAAATCTTTTACTTACGTGTGAAATTTCATTTATCTATCTGAAATAGTACTCAAATTATAGGCTTTTGAAAAATTCAAAGTAGAAAAAGTACCACTTCCGGTTATCGGAAATCGCTCAAAAGTTGATCAGGGTCTGCGATTTTGATGAAATACTTATATATGAAATTTGATCAATCTAGCTGTAACGGTACTCAAGTTATCGTGTTTACACACCAACACACACACACACACACACACACACAGACATACAGACAAGATTGCAAAATTATGTTTTTCCGTATCAGTGAGGTGTAAAACGTCGAGATTTGCAAAAATCTCGATTTTTTTTTGCACGATTACCAGACTTTCTCTATTCTTCGTATATACGAGAAAGTAAAAATATGTTTATTAGTTATGATGAAGATTAAAAGGTTTTGTTACTTCCCATTTAGAAAATCTATTTATTAAAGGTAAATAACTTATAATTGTGTACAAAAGTTATCAAGAATTGAAAGTAATAAAACAGATATAATTTTTAAAAAGTTGCTTTTAATTTTTACATTACTAAAACATTATTGTTATAATTCTATAATATGTGTTAGAAATAAACTCAATATTTAATTTTTTAATGTAAGTGATTTACAACTACACAACTGTTATCTTATGAGATACCTAATTTGAAAAGTAGAGATCGTTTCCAATTGGCATTGTTAGATTGTACGACAGGCTAGCTCCCTGTCAATAATATTTCACTTTTCGACTTTTTTTTAAAACTGTTCTATGATTCAGCTTAATGCTTGCCTTTTTATAGATATAATTCAACTATTTTCTACAAACAGAAAGTGCTGATATCTGAGGCGTAGCGACCCTTCCCGGTGCCCGGGGACAAACTTTTCGAATTGCACCCCTCCCCCCTCAAGATTTCGATTTGCACCCCCCCCCCCTAAAACTTTCGATTTGTACCCCCCCCCCCCTCAACCTTTCAATTTATTTTTCCAACCCATTTTGACATCTGTCCGTCCCCCCCCCCCCCCCACCTCGCTACGCTACTGCTAGATACACGATAAAATTGTAAATAGGCCTATATAGATAAAAAAAATAAAAAAAAATTCTCTTTCATTTACCAAAACAAAACCCTTTTAAGATAAAGGTAAGCTCTCATAAATTACGGGAGAGAAAAGTAAATAATGTTTAATAGAAGGTAAAATAAGAGTGTGTAAAAATATGTTCTTTTCATAAAAGGCTTAAACAATGAGAAACTTTGGTTCCATTAAGAGAGGAAGGGGTGGAAAGGCTGTTGCTTTAAAAGTTGTGTCTAATGCGTTGTTTTTTTCTGCCGAGGAAACCAAGGGATTTAAATTCTCGTAGTGTAGAGCATGTATATTGTAGTCGTGCGGCGTCAAAACGGCCGATGACAAAACGGCCCCGTCAAAAGGGCCAGCGACATATGGACCCCGTCATATAGGCTCCTGTTGTATAGGCTCCTGACAAAAGGGCTCCAGTTAACAAGGCTCCCCGACATATAGGCTCCCGTCATTTAGTTTTTCGACAACACGGCCCCCGTCATTACGACTCCCCACAAATAGGCTCCCGCCATTTAGTTTAGCCACAAAACGGCTCCCGTCATTATTACTCCCGACAAATAGTCTACTGTCAATTTGGCTCCCGACAAAAGGACTACTGACACTTTTTATAAAAGTTTATCTATAATAAGAAATAGTATGTTTTAATGTAAGGTTCATCTATCTGTGACTTCCATTAGTGAGTCGGTTATAGGCTGTTCCAACTCAGTGTGTGGGGAGAGGGGTCCATGCTGTACATTCCTACTTGCAGTATGCGTGTAGGTTATCAAAACGAAATGTTATCCTGTTAACATCACGTGTATCATTCATTTAGACTTCAGTGCTCGCTTTTAAGCAACAGATCTTTACTTATGTAAATTAAACATAAAAAAAATAGAATTGATGGAATTTAGCTGTTAAGGGCTCGATTTGTTTGTGAATTAATGTTGGTTCATGAAAAACAATTTCATTCAGGCATTTAAAAAGTGATTATAGTGGTAGTGGAGGCAGGACAAAATGGTTACTTTTATGGCAATAGTGTTCATGAGATTCATTTGTATGGAGCCAATATGTCGAGAGTCATTTTGTCGTAAGCCAATATGTCGGGAGCCAATATCTCGGGAGACCATTAGTAAGGAGACTAAATGTAGGGAGCTCATTTGTCGGGAGCCTTTATGTCGTGAGTCTATCTGTCGGGAGTCAAAATATCGGGAGCCCATTTGTCGGGAGACTATATGTCACGAATCAATATGACGGGAGCCTATTTGACGGGGGCCAATAAGTCGGGGATTTTTTGACGGGGCTATTTTGACCGGGTCGTTTTGTCGGGGATCGATTTGACGGGGTCATATTAACGGGGCCGTTTTGACGGGGCCGATTTGTCCCAGGCTGTGTCTGTATAGCCTGATGTCATTTTAACTGTCTATCCGTCTAGTCTCTGATGTGTCCCTCAAGATTTTGTTTCATTCAACTCTCATCCAATCACGTGAGATCATCGGTCCCACGTGATCCCAAACAGATGTCACGTGGTCGCCATATGTTCACAACACAGTGCCTGATCTTTCTATTGATAATATCTTATCGATTTTACTTGACAGGATTTGGCTAATTTTCATCGGAGTCGTTGATGGTTTAAGATACCTGTACACAGGCCGTACACATACCGTACACAGGCCGTAGACAGGACGTACACATACCGTACACATACCGTACACAGGCCGTACACAGGCTGTACATAGGCCGCACACATAGCGTACACAGGACGTACACAAGACATACAGAGAGTGTACACATACAGAAGGAAGTTATCATAGAGATCTGAAGGTATTAGTTTTCTTTATTGCTATGACGCTTTTCGTTATCTTTGCCTCCCATTTTCAATAAACTAAATCCTAACACTGTCAGTTGATGGTACACACTAGCTGGTAGGGTTAAGATTATAGCTGGATGTAATAACCAGGGTACCATTAACCGTGTCGCTACTGTTATAATTATAACCAAATATAATCCTATAATCTGTATACTTTCATAATATAGCCCATCCTCCCCCTCCCCACCAGGTGAAAAAAAGTGTAACATTTAAAAATAAACATTACCAGGGACATAGCTAATTCTGTTGTTGAGGGTAGTACCATACGTGTCTGAATTGGGTTTAGAAACAACGTTTTTTATGTCTACTTATAAAGATTTTTAAAAGTTTCTCATGCAGTATGTAACACCTGTAGGATGTCCTTGAGTCCACTCAGCTTTAATGAGTACCTGACTCACGTTAAGGTAACAAATACAGCTGAGCGTAATGCTGACCACACTATCCCCATATATGACGAGGTAAATGAAAGAGATGAACTCTACTTCATCTGCCCCATGTGTCTTTGGCACGAACGGCATAAGATAATGAAGAAGAAAAAATAAATCAAGTAAAGTTTGTGCTTGGGATTTTTAACACTAACGAATACAAATTTTTATTGGGTTTTTTTCATGTTCCCCTGTTACACGAAAGAGCAAAGAAATTTTTGACGAAAATTATCCACATTTTGTTCTAGGGCTTTGCGACTTTGGGAGTAATGTCTAAAAATAAAAATTTAATTATCTTCATTCAATGGAAATAAGTCAGACAACGAGACAGACAATAATTCAGACAATACGTCAGTGTGAACAGCTTGCTGAGATATCTCATTCGGTCTTTTGATCTCATCAAGTTGCCGCACAGCACAATACGGCCATCACGTGACTGGCTGTGTGCTCACAAACGTATTTGCCAATCTAAACTTGAAGCTATAACCTGATTTTAGTTGTGTCAATGTGGGACTTATTAAGCTGGGGACAAAATCTAACGGGAGAAATATGATGGAGACAATCTCTAAATGGAGAACTTTGATGGGGACAATCGCCTACTGAATTGGTGCACACCAGTAAAAAATTATTCTCTCCTAATAGTTTTTACATCAGTGTAATTGATTTTTTAATAAATTTATTTTCTGTGTGTAATGTGTAATTTTTCTGACTAGATTGAGCACCCCTAACTCCATAAGTACAGCAATATAATCGTGTCACCATCTGAATGTGCTGTAATCGCCTATCTTGCTGGCTACAGATATAATTGTTTCACCACCCTGCTCTCTTACAGACTAGAGACATAATTGTGTCACCACCTGCTCTCTTACAGACTAGAGACATAATTGTGTCACCACTTGCTCTGTTACAGACTAGAGACATAATTGTGTCACCACTTTGCTCTCTTACAGGCTAGAGACATAATTGTGTCACCACTTTGCTCTCTTACAGGCTAGAGACATAATTGTGTCACCACTTTGCTCTCTTACAGGCTAGAGACATAATTGTGTCACCACTTGCTCTGTTACAGGCTAGAGACATAATTGTGTCACCACTTTGCTCTCTTACAGGCTAGAGACATAATTGTGTCACCACTTTGCTCTCTTACAGGCTAGAGACATAATTGTGTCACCACTTGCTCTGTTACAGGCTAGAGACATAATTGTGTCACCACCTGCTCTCTTACAGACTAGAGACATAATTGTGTCACCAACTGCTCTCTTACAGACTAGAGACATAATTGTGTCACCACCTGCTCTCTTACAGACTAGAGACATAATTGTGTCACCACCTGCTCTCTTACAGACTAGAGACATAATTGTGTCACCACTTTGCTCTCTTACAGGCTAGAGACATAATTGTGTCACCACCCTGTTCCATTGCAGGCTACAGCCATAATTGTGTCACCACCCTGTAACTGTGTCACCACCTGCTCTCTTGCAGACATGGAGTTCCTACAGCAGCTACAGATCGCTGCCAAACTTGGGATACCCCGCGAACAGTTTTTTGCCATCTGGGAGGCCGAGGCACAGAACGCCCGACTCAACGCTGAGACCCGCATCCTACAGCTGGAGAAGGAGAAACTGCTGGCTGAGGTAAGGGGGGGGGGTCGTCCTAATGACGCCACACTTCTGGGGGGGGGTCGTCCTTATGACGTCATACTCCTGTAGTGGGGTCGTCCTTATAGGACGTCACACTTCCAGGGAGGGGGGGGGGGTCGTCCTTATGACGTCATACTCATGGGGGGGGGGGGGGCGTCCTTATATGAAATCATACTCCTAGATGGGATCTGCATTATATGACGTTACACTCCTTGAGGGGGGGTCGTCCATGTTTGACGTCACATTAATTGGGAGGGGGGGTCGCCTTATATGACGTCACACTCCTAGATGGGATCTCTATTATATGACGTTACACTCCTTGAGGGGGGGGTCGTCCATGTTTGACGTCACATTAATTGGGAGGGGGGGTCTCCTTATATGACGTCACACTCCTAGATGGGATCTTCGTTATACGACGTTACACTCCTTGAGGGGGGGGGGGGGCTATATTTGACGTCACATTGCTTGGGAGGGGGGGGCTCGTTAATAAATCCCACACACCCTGGTGGGGGTCGTCATTTAAAGACGTCTCACTCCTAGGGGGATTCGATCATAAATGACGTCACACTCGTTGCCGAAGTCATTTATAAATGACGGCAAGTTCCTGCAAGTGGGCGGGGGTCAGCCATAATCAGGATTAGAGATATACCTCAAATATTGTTTAAAGTTTTATAGATGGCTAAATTGTACCTTAGTGATCACCTAGTTTGTAAAGTACTATGTATACACTTATCTAATGAAAGAATGAATTTCTCTCCTCCCAATCAGCAGTCCATTCACTACGCGGATAAGGAAAACATCAGCAAACAGCACCACCCCATCCGTGTCAACAACGAACTTGTCAACAAAAAACGCGAGGCGAGACACAACGACACAAAACACGACGAAACCGATAACTCAGTTCACGAACAGCTGATCAAACTTCAGACCCAGATCAATGAGATCAAACAGGTCAGCGACGAGAAAATCAATCACCTGCACCTAATCAATAACGAGTTGAGAGAAGAGGTTTTCAGGATACGGAACTTTCTGGTGGAAATGTTAAACCATAAGGATTTCCAGACCCATCTTCTGGCGCCGTGGAATTTACATCACCTTCAAATCAACGAAGCTCCTAAACTAAAAACATGGGACCCACACTCAACTCAGCTAAACCAAAGAGACGACGTTGAAAAATTATTCATTGAAAACGAAAGTAAAAGTCAGGTGGATGAGGAACCGGATGTGGGGAGTTTCCCGGAAATGAGCGAATACAGCTACTCGCCTTCATCCTGGGCGTCTGACGTCACTAACGATTTCGAAAGTGTTTCGTGGGAGCGTGTAGGGATCCGCGGGAACAAACCGAGACCGACCCCGGGGTCGACAGTCGCCACTGGGATCTACGCCGAAGCCATCGCTCTCCAAATGTCGAAAGAGTACCAGGAGGCAAGGGAGGTCACCGAGGTTCAACAAAAGCGCCACAAATCTGGAGAGTTACCCGCCCCTGTCGTTAACCAACGCAAAACAGATAAAAACCAGTTTCCCGATCAGTTTTCCGGCGCTGTTAAACCAGGTCGTGAGGTGGTTAAACCGGGTCGCGAGGTGGTTAAAATCGCCCCTCTGGTTCCCCAAATAACCGTCATCCCCCAGGACGGGCATAGATTCACCGTCAACAAGGTGGACAAGTTCTACGCCACCAAGAGCAAATTCTACACAAATTTCCTCTACACCCGCTCCAAGGAGTGCAAGCTCCGGCTCATGACACGCTTCAACGCCCACGGCTTGCTGGACGTCCAACTCCTGGTCTCCGTGGCACCGGACAACAAATCCGTCCGCTGGCCGCTGACCCTGCAGGGGTTCGGGAAAATCTACAATCCCGAGTCCAAGAAGCACACGTCGATCTGGTCCATCGACCCGACCGTGTGCAACAGACCGGAACCGGGGAAGGAGCTGGTCGTCCCCGCCGTCGTCTGCCTGACCACGCTGAGGGGGAACTACAATGACGTCACGTACGAGCTGCTGGAATCGAAGCACTACGTCAAAGAAAACAACTTCCGGTTTGTTTGGAATGTCTCCACGGGGGATGGGATTTTAACTGAAACATGGTCCTGCGGCGAAACCGTTGAATGAAACTATTTTAAACTAATTAGCAATTAAGATACAGTACCGCTGTACCGATGGTTTATCTAATAAATTGTATATGTAAAATAATTGATCTAAACTCAAATGTCTTTCGCGTTTTATTGCATAATGTGGACGGTTTAGTTATTCACAAAAGATTGTATTATTCAGAAATAATGATATCACAAATTATTTTACCTGATTTATTCGAGTTGTTCTTGTCTCCACTTTCTCTTTCAGTCTTCGGACTGCCCATATTTAAAAAAAATAAACTATAACGTTTTAAAGGAATTTTTTTTAATAGTGGGGTATTTTCTTTATTGAAGTACCAACTCCACTGGTATGTGAGATATTAGTAATTTAAAACTTTAATTTAACCTCGTTTTGGTGATGTCTCAAGTTATTGTTTATTATCGTAATTCTAATAAAACAGCGATTGTGTTTTTCTTCCACCAACTGTGGAGTATCTACGTCAGATATGGGCGAGGGACGGTCGCGTAAATGGTGTCATTTGACAGTCACGTCAATTGTGTCATGTGACAGTCACGTCAATTGTGTCATGTGACAGTCACGTCCATTGTGTCATGTGACAGTCACGTCAATTGTGTCATGTGACAGTCACGTCAATTGTGTCATGTGACAGTCACGTCAATTGTGTCATGTGACAGTCACGTCAATTGTGTCATGTGACAGTCACGTCCATTGTGTCATGTGGCAGTCACGTCAATTGTCTCATGTGACAGTCACGTCAATAGTGTCATGTGACAGTCACGTCAATTGTGTCATGTTACAGTCACGTCAATTGTGTCATGTGACAGTCACGTCAATTGTGTCATGTGACAGTCACGTCCATTGTGTCATTTGACAGTCACGTCACTTGTGTCATGTGACAGTCATTACGTCACTTGTGTCATGTGACAATCACGTCAATTGTGTCATGTGGCAGTCACGTCAATTGTCTCATGTGACAGTCACGTCAATAGTGTCATGTGACAGTCACGTCAATTGTGTCATGTTACAGTCACGTCAATTGTGTCATCAGACAGACATGTAAGCAGTAAAGTCACATATCTTGTTATGACTTTTCATAAAACTGCTTCACACTCAAATCTGTTTTCCCGATATTTGTAAAATTATTTTTGAAATAAAAACACATGTTAGCTATGTACATATTGCATGTGTGTACGTGTACATTAGAAAACTGTACTCCACTGCTGATTTGATGCTATTAAAAAATGACATAAAGTAGAACATTTGTTGTTTTGTCAGTTTTCTTAGTTTATGGACCATTATCGACTTGGGAGATACAACCCCACATCTTACAAAACTGACTGTGTCTAATTACAGTTAATGAATCGTCTCATCTCCATACTAATGCATGAATTTTGATAAATTAATGATTAATATACGATATATATATATATATATATATATATATATATATATATATATATATATATATATATATATATATATATGTATATATATATATATATATATATATATGTATATATTTATTTATTTATATATTTATATATTTATATATTTATTTATTTATATAGTTATATATTTATATATTTATATATATATATAGCGAGGTTAAGAGGGTAGGACATTATGTGATGCTGCGTGAAAGTGGGTAAAGATTATTTGATTGCCGAGGGTTTACTGAACGTATTATAACGTACGAGCCGGCCCGCGGCATAACATACGCCGCTATTTAGTTATTGTTTTTTCTACTTTTCAGTAATTCATAATTTGTGAATTCGACAGTACCAACGCTGCCACTGAAAATATTTCTTTAAAACACTATAAGTAGCTCGTTAAGGACCATAAACCCCCCCCCCCCTTCCTCCCCCCCCCCCCCCTACGTTTAAAATCGTTGGCTCTGCTTGTAAACATTTAGAGTGAACACAGCTCACTAAGACCATGTAGGGGTGGGGAGGTAGGGAGCGGGTTTACAGCTTGTTTTCTAGCAGCTCCCAGAAAAGAATTATATATATAGATACAAATTTTTTTCTCTCAACTTCGTCCGTACGAACCACGAACTGCTGCCATTGCAGTACAACTGTAATACTATAAATACACTGGCACTTGATTGGGGATAGGGCCTATTGGCAACTTGCCGAGTTCAAACATAGGTCTGATATAAAAAATTTTTTACTGAGACAAAGAATCAGAATGTCCAGTTATTGAAGTGTGTTAAATCATGATCAAGAAATATTTCAGGTACGGGTACTGTTATGATCTAAGCAAGTTTTTTTTCCTAGTATAAAGGCTTAAGGGAAATGTCTTCGGTTGATTTTCAAGAAAATAATTGTGTTGGCTACACTAATCGAGCTAGCCTGATCTTATAAATCAGCTGAATGCAGATTTGGACTTCGAGAGTAGGACACTGGTAGTAAGTTGTAGAGGACTTTTAGATCTAATTTGCAGATGGTTCTTCTTTCAACGTTTAAAAATTAGTTAGCAATTGTTACTTTTAATAGAATATTTTTCGTTCTACATTTACAAATCAGGGTAGCAAGACTTTGATCTACTCTCTACATTCAAAGAAAAATAAATTTCTTATACCTACTTAGTGAACAGTTTTGATTAAAATAATTATATACTTGGTTTAAGTATATTTCTGTAATTTTAGGTGTTTACACCGATTTGAAGAAAAGATTCATTCATTCCATCATCGTTCTATACAGTGTTGTGTGAGTTCGAGTCTTCAGTCATGGAGTTTTTAAACGGTCTCCAGCAGGCGACGGAACGTGGTCTGACAAAAAATGAGTATCAAATCATCTGGGAGAAAGAGAGAAAACTTTCAGAGGCCAAGACAGAGGCGGAAACTCTAAAACTAAAACTGGTGGGTAACGAACTCTGCATAGGTTTATGTTGCATATATGTACACCAGGGGCGGAACTACCATACCGCCAGACCCCGCAATGCGGGGGGGCCCAGGACGTTTAGGGGCCCAGTTCCGACCAAAAAACAATGAATTTGTTTTTCAAAAATTATGTTTTTCATGCATCTTAAAAGTGGTTTTGTAAAAAAAAAAAAAAAGGTCTACTATAGCAGAGATTGTTGCGTAGAAAAATATTTTATAATCTACAAGAGCTATAGTTTGAAATGGTAGGCAAACATTCACACTACTTCCATGACTTACTGCCCTTCTTTAAAACAGGGATGCCCACAAAGCTCATTTAAATAGTTTTGTGCTATGTATATTAAAAAGCAATTAAATTCTCTGAATTATTATTTAAATAAGACGTAATAAACAATGGTATAGCCATAAAAATCAATGTTTTCAAAATTGATATTATAAAAGCCAAAAATGAAAAGAATAAACATAACGCGAGAAACCATTCACGAATCAAGCTTACGTCTTTATATATTTTTGACCAGCATGTTTAGAAGTGACGGTGGTAATTTCTAGCTTAAGATGAGTTTGGACCAAATTTGTCTGGATTGTTCTCCCAGAATGGTTTTATATTGCAATGAAGTAGACTAAATTACTCAGTTAGGATATAGATATTATATATATATATATATATATATATATATATATATATATATATATATATATATATATATATATATATAGGGGGCCCTAATTTTTTCTTTGCGGGGGAGCCCTTTTTTTCTAGTTCCGCCACTGATGTACACAGCCTATAGGAGTTAGTTATCTTTTACTTTTTCAAAATAACATTTACTCGTAATGATTATTCTTAAAATAATAAACGATATATATATATATATATACACATAATTATATTCAGATATCAAAGGGCATTTTATTGGACGACAAAACACCGAATGCAACACTGCTGGAAATCAGACAAGAAATTGACAACCTAAAAAAACTTGTGGCAGAAACCTCTGTAAAAAATCTGGAACAAATAAAATCCTTCATTCAGAATGCTGCCGAGTGTGGAATTAACGACGGAAGGCGAGTGCACCAAGCCCCCACTGACGTCACAACCGATCATTCTGCAGCTTCGGATGAGAATCCGGAAATAAGCCCACTGCATGTGCGTCAACATCCGGCAGTCGAAAATGGTGATCGGCAACTTCAGACTACAAAGCTTTCAGACGTCAACCTCACTCAGCAAGCGGAGGGTCTGTATGCTGATGGAATCAACAAGTCTAGTTCCTCCATAGCACCCTCCCCTGGACCACAACTCGGCTCCTCCATAGATCAGTCACCTGTACTCCCACTTCGTCCCTCCTTAGGTCCATCTTTAGGTCCCTCCCCTGGACCCACTACCTCCTTAGGTCCCTCCCCTGGACCCACTCTAGGTACCTCCTTAGGTCCCTCCCCTGGACCCACTCTAGGTACCTCCTTAGGTCCCTCCCCTGGACCCACTCTAGGTACCTCCTTAGGTCCCACTCCTGGACCCACTCTAGGTGCCTCCTTAGGTCCATCTTTAGGTCCCTCCCCTGGACCCACTACCTCCTTAGGTCCCTCCCCTGGACCCACTCTAGGTACCTCCTTAGGTCCCTCCCCTGGACCCACTCTAGGTACCTCCTTAGGTCCCTCCCCTGGACCCACTCTAGGTACCTCCTTAGGTCCCTCCCCTGGACCCACTCTAGGTACCTCCTTAGGTCCCTCCCCTGGACCCACTCCAGGTGCCTCCTTAGGTCCCTCCCCTGGACCCACTACCTCCTTAGGTCCCTCCCCTGGACACCCTATCGGTACCTCCTTAGGTCCTTCCATCCTCTCCACGCCTGCAACAGGCAGCTATGCTGATGCTGTAGCCCAACAGTTTTCACAGAACCATCATCTGTCCATCCCACCTTCTAACTTTAAGATCAACGATGTATCAAAACACACCTCTAAACCAGGACTGACTAACTTTATCCAAGACATCGACATGCCAGACTCAAGTCTTGAGAACAACGAACAAGCTACAGCAGAAGTCAGACCAACAACACGTAGACAACGTAACGCCGAACTCGCTTTAATGACGGGTGGCGGGATTGGTTTTATTATAAAAAACGCGGAAAAATTCAACGAATTGGGCAAAAAGTTTTACACCCTACCAGTGTTGACTGGACCTGGCATATGTAGAGCTCGCCTTGAGATCCACTTCTACAACGCGGACCGCCTAGAAGTCAACCTGCTGATATCAACAGTACCTGACGATGACCCGACCCAGTGGCCGTTGACGTTTACCTGCGTGGGTGAAATTCTGAACCCCGAGTCACACATGTACACTAAGCTGTTTGAGGTTGATGCAGTTAGCAAACACAGGCCCAAACCTGGGAAGGAGGCGAGGATCAAAGCGAGCGTGTGTCTGCAAACTGCTCGCGCCCATCACGAGCAAGTCTCTTATGATATTCTGGAATCTAAACATTACCTGAAGGACAACAATATCCACATCCGCTGGTATCTGACTGCTGGTGGAGCAACTTTTGACGATCAATTAATGGCCGCGATCCTGGATAGCGAGGATTTGTAGGAGAGATGTGCCAATGTATGGGACAAGTTCTAGATATAGATACAAATGTACAAGGGACAAGTTCTAGAGGTAGATACAAATGTACCAATGTGTGGGACAAGTTCTAGAGATAGATACAAATGTGCCAATGTACAGGACAAGTTCTAGAGATAGATACAAATTTGCCAATGTATGGGACAAGTTTTAGAGGTAGATACAAATGTACCAATGTGTGGGACAAGTTCTAGAGATAGATACAAATGTATCAATGTGTGGGACAAGTTCTAGAGATAGATACAAATGTACCAATGTGTGGGACAAGTTCTAGAGATAGATACAAATGTGCCAATGTGTAGGACAAGTTCTAGATATAGATACAAATGTACCAGGGACAAGTCCTAGAGGTAGATACAAATGTACCAATGTGTGGGACAAGTTCTAGAGATAGATACAAATGTGCCAATGTACAGGACAAGTTCTAGAGATAGATACAAATGTGCCAATGTATAGGAAAAGTTCTAGATATAGATACAACTGTGGCAATGTGTGGAACAAGTTCTAGAGATAGATACAAATGTACCAGGGACAAGTTCTAGAGGTAGATACAAATGTGCTAATGTATGGGACAAGTTCTAGAGATAGATACAAATGTGCCAATATATGGGACAAGTTCTAGAGATAGATACAAATATGTAAATGTTTGGGACAAGTTCTAGAGATAGATACAAATGTGCCAATGTATGGGACAAGTTCTAGAGATAAAGACACATGAGACAGTGTATAAGTCAAGTTCCAAAGATGATAACAAACGAAGCAAGGAGTTGAACACATGCACACCATTCGGCAACACAGGACAATCTTACAATCACAGAGGTTCATTAGACATTAGAACAATGATAATTAAATACTTAGACAAAATAAAATCCAAAGACTAATTAAATAAGTAAATATCTATCTCGTAGTCTGGTAGACCATTAGTATACAACCACAGTCATCTTCTTCAACTGAATGTCCTCAGTCATCTTCAGCGTTAAACATGATTAATGTTATCTGCCTATATATATATATATATATATATATATATATATATATATATATATATATATATATATATATATATATATATATATATATATATATATCGTATAAGTATGGCTACTTGCCATTTAAAATATTAAGTTATTGATTAGTAGGATCAATGCCAAACAAATCTTTACACATTCAAAATTTTCTCAGGTGGCTTAATTCGTTGCTGACGTCACTCCCGGGAAGTCTGACCTTGTCTACGTCTCCCCATTCCCTAGAACCCAATTATTAAAGCGTTCAGAGACTAATTCCTGGCTCAGATAACAAGTTGAATCAGTTGAAATATGTTTATACGACACTGTTAATTTGAAATCTGATATCTGTCTTTTCTTCGTGTACATTATTTTGTTATGTTTATTATTTAAAACTTGCACAGATAAGATTATAACCATCTGTCTATGTAATCCTATATCAAGTTATAATGTCCACATACTTAATTATTTAATGCACTGTAAAAAAAAACCCAGGATCTAATGGAACAATATGTTAATGTAATATTTATATACATTTTGTTAAATTAGTGATTAGTTTCACTATTATCCTTGATAATTCTTATTACCAATTTTAAACCTTAAGCATTCGTGATTACCTTTACGTACTTTAAATTTTTAAAGATTATTTTTTTACTATTTAGTTTTGATAAATTAGTGATTAATTTCATTATTATCCTTGATAGTTGGCAGTATCACGTTTTAAAACACATACGTGATTATTTTTAGCTGCTTTAAATTTTTTTTAGATTCTTTCTCAGTATTTAGTTTTGTACCCAATGTAATATAGAAGGTGTGTTTAAACTGGTGCCTGCCTTAATTAAATAAAAATAAAGAAGAGCTATTACCAAGCGTTAGTCTTTCTATAAAATGTATGTTGTTAGCAGTTGGGGTGTTATATGTGCCACTATATTGAGGTGATGCACAATCTAACTCACGGTGACACGCACCTTTATACCCAGGTACAACACGTTCAGGTGTTCCAGCATTGGGCAAAGTGCCAAGTCCTGATAGTTGTCTACAGACAAGAATTCTTTTGATAGGAAATCACGGGAAAGTTTAATTTAGCTTATATTGATTTTTGTCTAGGGTAACTAGCAGGAAGTTAACTGTGTGGGAAAACTAGCAGGAAGTTACCTGTGTGGGTAACTAGAAGGAAGTTACCTGTGTGGGTTAACTAGCAGGAAGTTACCTGTGTGGGTAACTAGAAGGAAGTTACCTGTGTGGGTAACTAGAAGGAAGTTACCTGTGTGGGTTAACTAGCAGGAAGTTACCTGTGTGGGTTAACTAGCAGGAAGTTACCTGTGTGGGTTAACTAGCAGGAAGTTCCCTGTGTGGGTTACTGGGGTAACTAGCAGGAAGTTACCTGTGTGGGGTAACTAGCAGGAAGTTCCCTGTGTGTGGGTTAACTAGCAGTTAGTTACCTTTGTGGGTTACTGGGGTAACTAGCAGGAAGTTACCTGTGTGGGGTAACTAGCAGGAAGTTCCCTGTGTGGGGTAACTAGCAGGAAGTTCCCTGTGTGGGTTACTGGGGTAACTAGCAGGAAGTTACCTGTGTGGGGTAACTAGCAGGAAGTTACCTGTGTGGGGTAACTAGCAGGAAGTTCCCTGTGTGGTGTAACTAGCAGGAAGTTCCCTATGTGGGGTAACTAGCAGGAAGTTACCTGTGTGGGGTACTGGGGTAACTAGCAGGAAGTTACCTGTGTTGGGTAACTAGCAGGAAGTTACCAGTGTGGGGTAACTAGCAGGAAGTTACCTGTGTTGGGTAACTAGCAGGAAGTTCCCTGTGTGGGTTACTGGGGTAACTAGCAGGAAGTTACCTGTGTGGGGTAACTAGCAGGAAGTTACCTGTGTTGGGTAACTAGCAGGAAGTTCCCTGTTTGGGGTAACTAGCAGGAAGTTCCCTGTGTGGGGTACTGGGGTAACTAGCAGGAAGTTCCCTGTGTGGGGTAACTAGCAGGAAGTTCCCTGTGTGGGGTACTGGGGTAACTAGCAGGAAGTTACCTGTGTGGGGTAACTAGCAGGAAGTTCCCTGTGTGGGGTACTGGGGTAACTAGCAGGAAGTTCCCTGTGTGGGGTAACTAGCAGGAAGTTACCTGTGTGGGGTAACTAGCAGGAAGTTCCCTGTGTGGGGTAACTAGCAGGAAGTTACCTGTGTGGGGTAACTAGCAGGAAGTTACCTGTGTGTGGGTAACTAGCAGGAAGTTACCTGTGTGGTGTAACTAGCAGGAAGTTCCCTATGTGGGGTAACTAGCAGGAAGTTACCTGTGTGGGGTACTGGGGTAACTAGCAGGAAGTTCCCTATGTGGGTTAACTAGCAGGAAGTTACCTGTGTGGGGTAACTAGCAGGAAGTTCCCTGTGTGGGGTAACTAGCAGGAAGTTCCCTGTGTGGTGTAACTAGCAGGAAGTTCCCTATGTGGGTTAACTAGCAGGAAGTTCCCTGTGAGGTGTAACTAGCAGGAAGTTACCTGTGTGGGGTAACTAGCAAGAAGTTCCCTGTGTGGGGTACTGGGGTAACTAGCAGGAAGTTCCCTATGTGGGGTAACTAGCAGGAAGTTCCCTATGTGGGTTAACTAGCAGGAAGTTCCCTATGTGGGTTAACTAGAAGGAAGTTACCTGTGTGGGGTAACTAGAAGGAAGTTCCCTGTGTGGTGTAACTAGCAGGAAGTTCCCTATGTGGGTTAACTAGCAGGAAGTTCCCTATGTGGGTTAACTAGCAGGAAGTTCCCTGTGTGGTGTAACTAGCAGGAAGTTCCCTGTGTGGGGTACTGGGGTAACTAGCAGGAAGTTCCCTGTGTGGGGTAACTAGCAGGAAGTTCCCTGTGTGGGGTACTGGGGTAACTAGCAGGAAGTTACCTGTGTGGGGTAACTAGCAGGAAGTTCCCTGTGTGGGGTACTGGGGTAACTAGCAGGAAGTTCCCTGTGTGGGGTAACTAGCAGGAAGTTCCCTATGTGGGGTAACTAGCAGGAAGTTACCTGTGTGGGGTAACTAGCAGGAAGTTACCTGTGTGGGGTAACTAGCAGGAAGTTACCTGTGTTGGGTAACTAGCAGGAAGTTACCTGTGTGGGGTAACTAGCAGGAAGTTACCTGTGTGGGGTACTGGGGTAACTAGCAGGAAGTTACCTGTGTTGGGTAACTAGCAGGAAGTTACCAGTGTGGGGTAACTAGCAGGAAGTTACCTGTGTGGGGTACTGGTGT